GTGCCAATTACCGCAATGACATAAAGTCTGAGCTCAATTCTGTGCGTTTTGGAATTAGAGGAAAAAGGGAACAATGAGGGCAGCAAGTATTGTGGAGCTCAGAAGACGATTTGGGATGATTTTCTAGGATGCTGAAGTCAAAAAAAGAAAAGGTATGAACACAGGACGAACCGTATTAACAGAATATTATCATTCGGGATGCTCTGATATATAAATTAGCTGAGATGGAGTCACCTCGGGGAAATCACCGGTATATGAGAAATAATGAAAATATCTATAAGAATGTAGGGGAGGTTTGCCTGGAGGGCTGATGATAACCCATTGAGGTACCTATCTCTCGTAAGCGTGCTCTGCAGCTGATATGTTGACCAAAAAACAAATGTGTAAACTTCCTATGCCTGATTTGAAGCGATTAAAGCTATGATTTCACACGCTTCCAGATGAGTTTCAGGGTGGATTCACGCTAGGAAAGTGCTGCTGGGAGAGGGTACAGCTGAGACTGGGCTTTGCTAGCGTTGAGATGAAGCGTGCATGAGGTGTGTCCTTGAGTCGGTCTCGACGCGATTCCCTTATCGATGCCATCGTGGGTATGGGTCATCGTCAAAAACGAGGCTTCCATCAGCACCGAGACCTTTCAGATGTCGTGTTTCCATGTTGGTGTCCCAATAACCAGAATGCCTTAACAGTATTCAATTTTAGGAAGAAAAAAAGCGGGAAAAGCGCAGAAAAATTTTACCAAACCTGGCTTCCCACTCATCAGACCCAGTTCTCGTTGTTACCGTCGATTCGGCTGTCTCCGCTGTCGAGAGCATCAGCGGAGCATCCGGAAAAGGAGCAGTAGCATAACGTGGAGAACAATCAAACAGGTCGTCGTATGATGGTGAGGTTAAGCCTGAAAACAAAAATATTTGCCTTTTCTACAAGTAAAAGTTTCCAAAATATTAGGTCTAAGGTCGGACGAAGGCGGTTGGCCAAATAAGGTATGGAGGCGCGAGCGCGGCACCCAAGCCCTACTATCGTTGTGAGTCTGCGCCTGGCGTGCTCCACAGCTGATAGAATCGCGTTCGCGCCGCCCCGCTTCATCGGGTCGACTGTCTTCATTCGAAGGTAGGCTATATACTCACCCGAAAAACGTGGATAATATGAATCTGGCAAATCGCCAGATCCATGCTCATCACGCTGCTTCCTATACGAAAATAGGCTATTACCAGAGTTTGAGTTTGGATGCCTAAAAAAATACTTTTAGTTAAAGGGAACAAAATGAAAAAACGTCGAACTTACTTTAGAGACCTCCTCAAGAAGGTCACATAGACGATTGGGGTATAAAAACAAAAGTAGAGATACGTCGAGAAATCGACAAAGCTAAAAACGACGTAAATTCTCATGGGTACCGCGTAACTGGGAAAATCATAAAAAACGATATGCTTACCACATTCCATCTGTAGCCTGGAAATACAGCAAAACTGCACCCAAAGCTTGCAAGATATTCAAAAATGATAGCAATATACAGTACAAGTAGAAAGAGCATTTACCTTAAAAAATGGCAAATATAATGTTATTTTTGCGCTTTCTATCAAATCAAAATTCTTAATAATTATGGCACAAGTTGGCAACTTTCTAGAAATTCTACTCACTACAAATTTATTTTACAAAACTCACTTGGTAATGTAACATATCTCCTTACACATGTAAGTGGCAGACACAAGACGAATAGATATATCTGAAATTTATGGAAATAAGCCTGTCAAAAAACATAAATAATCATTATGTCAAAAAACATAAATAATCATTTACAGATTCGTATCCTTTAGCATTCTGCCCTATGCAGAAAAGTCAGAAAAAACAATTTTCGAAAAAAAA